TATAAATGACTTGTTTAGAATAAAAACTTATAGCTCATTAAGGAAGAATCACTTGACTTGCATAAACAGTTACATCTCTGAAAGAAATATGGAATCCCATGAATAATAAAAAAGGAGCAGCAATTGACAGACACAGGCTTCAAGCAAAAATCGGAACTTACACTTTAATCACATTGAAAATATACCATTTTGTTTTCCAGCATCTTGCCCTAGGGCACCGACAGTTTAGAGCCTATAGCTAAAGAAGCCTAGCTATTCAATAAAGTATTTAAATGACAAAAAAAAAAGCTTGCATCTGTTATTTTGATAAAGGTTCTAATTCTGTTAAAGCAAAATACTCAATATAATGCTGTAGACTCTCATAATTCAGACAGGTCTGGCACCAACACAAAAGTGTTGAGATTACAAGACCTGAAGTGCCTCCGTTCTTTCAGGCTCAATAATACAGGGACATCAAGTATTCCTTTATAAGGGGAAACAATACATTAACCTTTGATCATCCACCTTGCTTTTGATACAGGACAAGTTTTTCAACCCCAGAAACACCTCAGATGAAAAAAAGCTAAGACCAAAAATGGTACTGACAGTGCCTTCTAGAATCTACCCGCTCCCCGACAAAACAAGCAAGGTAATGTTTAAAAAGCAAAGCAACATAAAAAAAGCCCAAGAGTGGTGTGTGAAACAGGAGCCTCCTCCTCAAAAAGCATATACACCTAAGCAGAAATCTTTACCCTGCTCATACATGATTTTTTCAGAGTGGCAGTTACATGGATTCCATGGTAATTAACGTCTTAGTTTAAAAATGGAATAAAAAGGAGCTTAGCTGTAGTATCATAAGTGTTTTTACCACTGACAGGACAGTGAATGGCTTCACAGTAGCAGGAAGTGCTGAAAGCCTCCTGCGTGTACAATGATTCAGAAGATACTCACTTTACTACAGCCAGCAGCTAGCAATATAAAAACACACAGATGTTTCTAAGCCCTACCATTAAAAGTGATGAAGCTTAAGGGAAGATTAATGAAATTCATCATATACCTATGCATTCGTAATTTTTATATTTATGTATATATATATAGGGATCCCTTCCCTCCTCCCCACAAACAAGTAATTACTTGTCTCCCGAACAAGATCACTCCATTATCAAAGATTAAGAGCTTGACAGAAGCTGCACCTGTGTATCTTGGTTTACTACGTACAATTGTATTGGCGATCATAAATTGCGGGGATTTCAGTAGTAGGGGCTGCAAGGGTGAGATGTGGCAGGAAGTTGCAAACTGCCTGTTGCTGGTCAAAACAGGCTCTAGCCTGCACTGAAGCAGATGGAAACAATCCATTTCAGTGCCAAAACTTCAACCAGAGGTGTACACAGGGCCTCTGATTAAACATATTTATGAAAAGAGTGGCAGCTGCTAGCAAGAGGTACAGGGAGACACATAAGAAGACACTCCCGGAGAGACACCTGCAGAGAAACCGAAGAGCTGCTCTTGCGAAAACTTGTTAGGAAGACACTGAGGACATGTATAGAGACACCTTCACAGAAGGACACACTCGATGCCTGAGGAGATTCCCTCCTGAGGGTGCTCTGGCCAACAGCTGAGCCATGCCGGAGCAGGTACGCCTCTGAAGGAACTAAGGGCCCCAGGAGACCCAAGCTGGAACAGGCAAATCTCTGAGCGGACTATGGCCCAGCATACACAGCGACACCGAGCAGCCCAGAGCAGCAAAGGACACCCACTAAGAGATGAAGAACATCAGGCAAGCCAGTACGCATAGGAGCCCAACCTCCTGTGCCATCTGTCGCCCCACTAAAAGAACTGGCACGGCCCAAGTGCGACTCTCGGTGAAAGCAAGGGAAACAGGCTTCACAGAGACGTTAGCTGAGCCTGAGGAAGGGAGAGGAAAGATGCTTCCGTAAGTGTTTAAGTAATGTTTTTCTTATCTTTTTCTTCCCAATACCTGAATCGCTGATTACAAGTTTGGTCAAAGGGCAATAAAATAAATTCAGGAAAACCACTACAAGTCAACTGTTTTGCCTATGATAAGCAAAAGAAAGGATTCTAGACATCTCGAGCTTCCCTTAAATCATCAATCCTCTCAACTAGATCTCGTGACAACCTTACCAGTATTCTACTGCCATCAGCTGGTGCCATGTAAATGAACATCAGAAAGCCAAGTGCTACAAAATCAGTGGAGCAACATTTGTTCAAGACAATGTCATAATATAGGGTAAAACAGTAATAGGCAAATATTAAAAAGTTACTATTCATGCTAAGTCATTAAAAAAGAATGTGGTTCTATAATATGACCTACTGGACCTGTTATAAAACCTTTAAAGTGTCTCTCGCAGTACATTTCATTTTAAAGCTTTATTTCAAAGTAATTAACTGTAAATAGGAGTAATGTTTAACTTTGAAACGTCCCGTATAAAAGTCATTCCAGGCTGGTAAAAGAAACAGTTTTGCTGGCAGCTCTGTAGGATGGTCTGGGTTTAAGACAAATAATTTTTTTGCCTGACCACGTTGTTTCTCAGCCTAGTGTTTCTGACCAGCCTTTTCTCTGGTTAACTGGGAAGAGGCATGCTTAACCTTTTTATGCAACACTGAAGTGACAATTTGAAAGAGGCTGAGAACTAATGTAATACACAAGATCATTCTTGAAATGAGTATGAAAATACTTTCCCCTCAAATGTGATGACGGTACTTGCAGAAATGACACCCTGCATGTAATAAGGCCTTGGAGAATGGAAAAATAGGGCCACTGAGTGCAAGAACCCTTTCTTCTACACTCATGTAAACAGGCTAGCGTTATAATATTTTTATTATTAAAAAAGACAGCGTTAGCAGTGTGGAAACAAACCATAAAGGGAATATAATTTCTAAGTTTAAAAAACATACTTATAAAGTTCTATGGTTTGTTGGGTTTTTTTATTTTTTTTAAATACAAAGTGCTTCTATACATTAAGCAGGTTACAGTGTTAGTGAGCAAATCCCTGTTTAGTTACCTTGATTACAAGGGTTATATATGGCCACCATGGTATATCGTAGAGTTCAATTAAGTGCTAAGAACAGGAACTCTGTGGTGCTGACCATTCATGCCCATTGCCAGCAATGGGTTCATCATATTTGGGAATATCTGTTTTAACAAAATTCCATATGAAAAATATATGAAGCATTAGAAGATTAAGAGCCTCTTAAAAAATTAAAGTTTGTAAGTAGAATGCCAGAAAAGAAGTTACATTAATTACAGCCCACTGAGTGGTAAACCCCGAGCTTGTACCAGACATTCACGTTCAGGATACAGTCAGGTGGCACCTTAAGACAATTTGTAACTGGGAGTTCAAAAAAGCATCTGAATAGTAATTCTTTTTGTGTGGTTTTGCTTCACCATACAGGGTCCTCTTTTTAAGTAGATTATGCTGTATGTTGCAGCATATACTACATAAATTGGGGCCAGACAGGCTTAGGCCTTTGATGCTGGTGAACGTTTTTTTCCCACGTTACCAGCATTGTACTTGGATGTCACCTCTTTCTGTTATAGTTTATGTATGCTCTAAAGGCTCTTTCCTTTTTGTAATACATTTCAGTAAACTACAAAGAAGGGTTAATTGCTTTTGCATAGGACTGCATTAAGCTTTCAACCCCCCAAATCCCGTTGCCACATTTACAACTGATGCGTTCACTCCACCTGCAGAGCTGGCAGCATCTTTCAGAACTACACACACTCCTCCACCTATCTCCAAGAACCAGAGCCCAGCCTATAGATCCTCATCCTAACGAAGCAGAAGTGCCACTTTCCCAGCAAAAATCCAGACTTTGGACACGGTAGCATGTCCTGCAGTACCATTAATAGATCCAAATGCCATACTCTCTAGTTTTTTTTGCACAAGCAGCTTCATCCAAAGCGCTAAACAACTCTGACTGCTCGTAATCACGTGTAACCAGTCACAGTAGTTCAGTACCAAGAATCTGTATTATATTTCTTATTATTCAAAGAGTAAAGAATTAAAAGTATAAATACCTATTGGTGACTAAATCTTCCTAAAGAAGGTTTCTAAAACTAGACAGAAGTTCTCAAATAAGTTTTTGTACCAATAAAAGTCAGTTTGTGAATCCACAGAGTTTGGTACTTGCTACTGTAGTGAGTGACAAAAATCTATGCAGAAAACTACAGTTTAAGTCTGGATTATTTTGGATAAATTCCAAACGTTACTTTTTTTTTTTTTGAGAAGACATACTTATTACACAAAATTCTAGAAGCTCTCATCATGTAGCAATCAAGTCAAGCCAAGCACCATCTGCATTAGACCCTAGATGAGCAAAGATAAATTATACCTAATACAGATTGAAGTGCTCAACTATATTTAAGTGCTTTAGGGACTCTAAATAGACATCAGCACAAAATGAGACATTTGTTTTACTGAAGGTGGATAAAAAAATGGAAGACACATAAAGGAAAGTCAAAGCATCTTTAACACAGCCTTTCATCAAGCAATACAGTAAGGGCTATTTAATGACGTAGACTAGCGAGGCATGTTAAGTATGTTAGCATTTTCCACTTTGAGGTGGAATTTAATTTTTTCTTCATTAAAAACTGAATTTTATAACCTGGTTTCATCATCCTAGTTCTCTCATCAAGTAGTGCTACTTGAATTTCTGCTTTAGATGATCTCTAAGGTCCCTTCCAACTTAAGCCATTCTATGATTCATCTAAATATTTGCGGGATTTGAGTCAATTTAAACCCGGGGTTTACTGCGAATTTAGAAGACTTAGAAAAACAACAGGGCTTCTAAATACTGCAGTGGTAACAGTCAATGTCACAAAGACCTTAGAGATCTCATTTATCAAGCACCTTTCAAATTAACCATTTGCACTTCACGCACTGAACACCTGGAGCAATACTGTGGAAAGTAAACTAGAAGTTTGGTCTGCTTAATCACTAAAACTTGTGGGGTTTTTTAGAATTTACAATAGCAAGTACCAGACGTTATTTGCATAATTATTTTGCTTACTCTCCTAAACAAAGGTAAGCACTAATGTCTTAGTTCATCTCAGTAGTACTCTGCTCAGCTTTAGAAGCTTGATATGACTTGGTACAAGAGGTCACATGCCGATGAAAACTGTCCCGCCACATAAACCTTTTCCCACAGATGTTACACTCATAAGGTTTTATGCCTGTATGAATTTTCATATGGCCTACAAGATGGTGTTTCATTTTGAATTTCTTACCACAGACACCACAGCCATAAGGTCGAAGACCAAGGTGCATACTCATATGCCGATCTCTCTGGCTTTTGTGTGTAAAGCTTTTTCCACACTGACAAGGATACAGCTTATCAGCATGCGAAAATCCAGTGAGGGACGTTTCTTCTTTAATTCCTGTAGCCATCTCAATGCCTTCACCATAGCCTGCAGCCATCATAAGATCCTGTCTGTGAGCACTTAAATTTCCATCTGCCCTTTCACCAGAAAATTCTTCCATAGAAGAACCATAAAAGTCAACTTGTTCATCGTAATTACTTTCATCTGCCTGTTCATCAAATTCTGCCTCCATCTTTTTTTCACCTATGTGAAAGTCTTCAACACCTGAAGACTGGATTGAATGATCTGCCTGAATGGCATTCATGGATTCAGAAACTTGGTGTTCATCATAAGGGTTATCAACACCTTCGCAGTCTTGTTCAAACCTTTCTGGTTTCACGTGGATCCACCGTTTGTGAGACATGATGCTGGGTTTGCTGTACAGAGGTCTGGTGTACTGATACTCTGCACTGTCACTAGTTCCTTCTTCACCATCCTGACTCGTCATTCCAGTGCTAAGTCTATCATGTTCTGTTGAAGAGTTGCTGGGAAGGTACTCATGTTCTGTCAGCTGACATGACAGTTCATCTTTAGAGCTCTCTTCCTCATTTTCACCATCTCTTAGCTCCTGCGCTTTGTGGAATTCCGTCTGTCCTCCTGAGCCAAGCTCAAAGGTTTCAACAAGGCCATTGTAGCTACTACTGCTTGGAGACTGATGATCGCTGCCATGATTCATCTTCTGACACAAAACTGTTGGGTTCCCCTCTAGCACTTCAGTGCATTTATCCACGACATGCCACATCTGAAGGAAACTTGCTGCTGTCAAATAACTAACAATTTCTGGAGCAGGCATTACCAGCCGACCTGTATAGGTAGACAGAAGAATGTTTTCAAATACTCTGGGATTCATCACATCAGGCAGGACTATTCGCCTGCTGTTTTTCAGGAGAACTTGATCACAGAAGTAAGGTGAACTAGCTGCAAGAACAGCTTTATGGGCTCTGAAGAGATGGCCCTGAACTACAATGGACACATCACATAATTGTCCTTGCTGGCGCTGCTGGTTTAACTTCTGCAAAATGGTGCTAGAAAAATCTGGAAATTCCACTCGAAAAGAGCTTGACCCAGACTCCATTTCATTACAAATTTAGTGTTGTGCTGCAAGGAAAGAAAAAACAAAACAAAACAATCAGAAATTTTGCTTAGTAAAGTACTGATCTTTCTGTTTCCTTCTACATTTTTTTCTTTTTTTCTTTACCAAATAACACTTAAGCAGACTCATATGGAACTCAGCATTTTCTGGAACCTATGACACCGCTGTGCTTATATTTCTCCCACCCCACTTAACTTCTCTCTTTTCTGAAAGTTGTACTGAGGCCACAAAATGCTATGCCAGTACATTTCGGTTGTTTCTTCTACGCAAAAGGACTCACCGACTACAGCAGACGCTACAAATAGCATGTTACCCAGCTGAGATAGATTAAGCATTTCAAGTAGGAGTTCAGGATATCAAAACCAGTTATTTGATAACTGGTAGAGTCCCAGAGTTTATGAGAGCACGTGAAGATTCTGCATTTCAGTTGCAAACAAAATAGTCTCGTTGACCCCCAGTAAAGACTGACTATGCATACAAAATACTCCACTTTAAATGAAGTTTTCAAAAGCCAACATACTGATTTGTACAATGACAAAAGCAGCACAGAGACAACTCTTGTGAGAATGAGGCTTATGACTCTTCTAGTGACATTTCCCTGTTGTTTTACTAACTGAAAGGTGGAAGAGCAGTATCTCATACAGTTGCAGGACTATAATCCAATCTTTGAATTCTGAGCTTTTTCAGATGGCCTGAAGCTGCGTCAGGGAAGGTTTAGATTGGATCTCAGGAAGCCCTTCCTCACGGAGAGGGTGGTCAGATATTGGGATGCACTGCCCAGGGAAGTGGTGGAGTCATCGTCCCTGGAAGTGTTTAAGGAAAGGCTGGAGGTGGCACTTAGTGCCCTGGTCTAGCTGTTGCAATGCTGTTGAGTCATAGGCTGGAACTGATGATCTCAGAGGTCTTTTCCAGCCTCAAAAATTCTGTGATTCTGTGATTCCTTACTTGCAGAAAACTTAAAATATTCATCAGAAAAGCAATACCTGTGCTGTACAGAATTTTTTCTGCATGTACCTTGTATATTTGTAACAATGCAACAATTATATGCTAGAAGGTGTTAAAAGCTCACAGAATTTTAATGTTTGTACTCTCGCATGATCTAAATGTCTCATTACAAAGTTAACAGTCTTTTAAGCAGAACTATTTCAAAATGTCTACTTTTAAATTTAAATTGAATATGAGATAAATTTACATGTCCTTATCATTAGAAATAATGACAGAAATTCAAATGCAACGATGAAAGACCAACATTAACTGCCTGAATAAGTTAAACTTGTGCAATTTTTCAATCTGATAATGCATAAATTGAACGGAGTTACGAAGTAGCAAGAAGTTTTCCTCTGTCAAATTTTGTTTCTTGTAAGTGGAAAAGTGTCAAAGTTTTAACAGATGCGGCTGCACACCTGAGAGAGAATACTTAGTAATATAGCAGACAGTGTATGCACACAGAATTTAAAGCATACAGTGCAAAAATAGGACGTGAATTACGAACAGTTGGAGGATTCTGAAATGAAAGCACATCTACAGAAAATATGATTATGAATCCCTGCTACAGGCAGTCTGTACAATAACTATAGTACTTTCTGTACAGTTATGTAACCATCAACAGGAAACTGCTCGTTTGGTGCACACTGTTAAAATGCTGGCACACTGGCACAAATGCGTGACTGCCAAGCGCAGAGAAAACAGCAGTGCTCGGTTACAGAACGCAGGCTGCACAGGAGCGATTATGTAAATCGCTCCATGTTTAATCAACAGCTCATGGTTACATAATCCCTTCCTTACCATTATGATCTGTTTTCCAATTCATATGCTTGACAATCCTCCCCCAAAAAGCTCAGTGTTCCATCTCCAAAGTCTCAGAGCTAGAAAAGGATGACAAGCATATGGAGCACAGGTGAACACAAACTATTCACTGTTATCTTACATAAAGATGGAAAGGTTTTCCACAGAAAAGCAAGCACACAAGTCAGACAGCCATTGAGACTTTTTCAGTAAATACAGGAGCAAACTCCTTGTAAACACTGAAACTGGCATCTTCTGCAGAACTGCAAAGTTCATGCTTTTAAATTTCCTTTTATTTTTTCACCAGAAGCATTGTATCAATCCAACTTTCCTACGAAAGTCTCTGAAGAAAACAGACTGTGAAGAACAGCCTGATATTTATTTGGCACACAGCCATTTTCTTACAAATACATAAATAATGGGTGAGCAGTTACATTCTGCTGTGAAGGTAACCAAGATACAGCAACCGAGGAAACGGACTCAAACGTGCAAATATAGCACACCACTGCTTTAAAGTGCCTTGACTAACAGCATTAGGGAAAAGGAAAGACCTTTACAACACAAAGCATTACTTTTCAGAGTCCTCACCTTCAGCTCTCACAGCTTCCTAAAATAACATGTTCCTAAAAGCATATGGAAATTTCACATAAAGGTGCAAAATAGAGAACAGCACTATTTTCTCACCTTTCAAGTGAAATAAAGTCTAGGGACTGTAATCAACTCACCAGAAGTGAAAGTCCGCAAACTGTCATATCTCAAGTGTAAACGTGGAATTTGAACTGAATACTACATTTACAACCCAGCTGCCATACAATCACTTTTAGCTAGACTGAAAACAATCTGCATAAACTGCTCAGTAGTCTGAATGGTTCTTAATTTAGTAAATCCAATGGAATATTAGAAACAACCCATTTTTAAATTATTTCCTTGGAAAAAGGATCTCTCAAAAACTTGCAGTTCAGCTGATCATTTTTGTTATCACCCACATAATAGCAGAAGGCGACTTTTAAATTTACTGTCTTCAGCGCTCCTCGGTTGCTTTTTTTTTCTCCCTCAAAGGATCAGTCCTGCCATGTACCCATAAAACCAATCCACTTAAGGAGACCAAATCAGCTATTGAGGTTTTTCAAGAAAATCACAGAATACCATGCCTGACTCTTCAATCGCTAATTTCTTACAACTTTGCTTAATACAACTTGACAATGTTAATTAAGTCTTTCAAGCACTTATACCCATTGTACATTATAATATAACTACTTTTTTCAAAAAAACAGATTTTATTTTTTTTTAATGCAGAGCTCTTTACCTCCTTTCAGAATAGTCTCAGATTTATTTTTCAATACTTGCTGACAAAAAGATATAATCCTTCAGGATACATCCAAATGAAATTTAAAGAGACGTGTCTATAGACTTCATAGATCTACTGTTACTCTAAACTGCCTTCTTTCAGCAGTGCCACCATAGAAACAGTACCAGGTGGAAGCAGACTTTATATCTTTTAAGTTCTCACAAAACCCAAAGCCATCAAAACATTAATAAAATATTTTCTATTAGTAAAGTCATACATGTCAGGAAAACTTTGATTTTCCAAAGAGGTTTCACTTCTTCCTTTTACAACCTTTTCTGCATTTTCTAGTTCATAAAGAACAAAGTCCTTCTATTACAAACAAAAGAAGACAATCAGCCATAGAATCATAGAATGGCCTAGGCTGGAAGGGACCTTAGAGATCATTTTAATCCAGCTTCCCTAGCACTAGGGACACCACCTGCTGACTAGATCAGGCAACACGTGGGGACCGAACGGGAATCGAACCCGCGACCTTGGCGTTGTTAGCGCCACGCTCAACTGACTGAGCTAACCGGCCCCCTAGTCCCCATGCTGCAATGTTAAGTGAACCGTACAAACCACGTATTACTTGCTCAAAAATAAGATCACTGTAAGCAGTGAGAGTTACTTCAGTTCTCCGTACGCAGAGCTCCTGAAGAAATCAATCCCCGCGCCTGCCA